AATAATTTATAATATTATTAATTATAATTTAAAATAAAGTTATTTTAAATTCTTGTTAAATTGATTAATATCCAATTAATTAATAATAAATATTTTGTAATTAATTTCTTATACTAATTCAATAAAAATTTAATGATTTTTAAATAGAAAATTAATGAAAATAAAAACAGTAAATAGACATTGTCAAATTTATTATAATAAAGATACACACTGGCAATTCCGATGTGGCAATTAATGACAGCAACATTTCTAACTGTAGAAAGGAAAAGAAAACGGACATCGATTTCATTGCTTTGGTGAATCCAATGATCTTTGTTACAAATAAATCATCATGATATTTCATTAAAAATTTTAAAAAAATAAAACGGACTAGTATTCGATAGTCAATATATTAAAAATAGGGTAAAGTATATAAACGGTTTCATGATTAAAGTACATTGTTTTATTTTATTGAATCTTTAAATTATTAAAGTTACAAAATAGTCTCTCAAATATTAATATATTCTAAACTCATCTTTTTTATTAAAAAAATAGCGGTCACTTGAGCTAGACATTAACTTATTGAGTCGGATATGATAAAATTTGATCCAAAAACTGTTGAGTTGTATTATTGTGTCTCCATTTATTTTATATCGTCGAGTTAGTGTTTAAAATATTGTGCAATCAATTCAGTGTTTGAATGTAATAACGGTGTATGTAGATATCATTAAAATATAATTTTATTATATTAAAGTCAACAAATTAATGTCCAACTCAGATGATCATTAATTTTTTTAATGAAAAAAACGAATTTGAAATACATGAATAATTGAAGGATCTGTTACAATTTTTAATAGGATAAAATATGCCAATAGTCTCATTTGTTTTTGGCCTAATCGACTTTAGTCACCAATTTTTTAATTAAGTGTGTTTAGTCCCTTAAATTATCGGTTCATCCGATTTTAATCACTCGGCTATTAAATTCAGTTAACCCATTAATAGAAATCTAAGTCGGGAATTAAAAAAATAAAAATGTTAAAAAAAACCAGGTGTCTTTGTTCAAACGTTGACTCACCTCCACATTTTTATATCTCGACCCAAGGATCCTCGCAAGAATATGTACTGCTCCAGATGTAACCCAAGGATCCCAACCCAAAGATCACTAACAATGGTGAACCAGAGTGCTATAATGAAGCAATGCAGGTGGAGGATTTAATCAAGTGGGAGTCTTCCATGAAAGATGCGGTGGACTTACTTATGTCAAAGTAGACGTGGGAATTAGCTGAATTACCACCAGGCAAGAAAGCGCTCCATAACAAGTGAGTTTACAGGATCAAAGAAGAGCACTATGGGAGCAAACACTACAAAGCAAGATTGGTTGTCAAAGGTTTTCAGCAAAAAGAAGGTATTGACTTCAATGAAAATTTCTCTCCAATCGTGAAGCTGTCTACAATCAGACTGATATTGAAAATTATAGCTGTAGAGAATCTACATCTTGACCAGTTAGATGTAAAAACAGCTATCCTTCATGGTGATTTGGAGGAAGAAATCTATATGAGGTAGCCAGAAGGCTTCATAGAGGCAGACAAGAAAAACCTGGTATGCAGGTTGAAGAAGAGCTTGTATGGTTTAAAACAAGCTCCTAGACAGTGGTACAAGAAGTTCGATAGCTTCATGGGTAACAGTGGTTTTACCAGATGCCAAGCAGATCATTGTTGCTACATCAAGAAGTTCGACAATAGCTTTATTATTTTATTGTTGTACGTTGATGACATGCTCATTGCAGGCTCAGATATGCAAGAGATTATAAACTTGAAGCAAAAATTGTCGAAGTAGTTTGCAGTGAAAGATCTAGGCGCTGCAAAGCAGATTCTTGGGATGAGGATTAAGAGAAACACAAAGTCATGGACTTTGATGTTATCACAGGCTGAGTACATCAACAAAGTACTCTCAAGGTTCAACATGCAAGATGCTAAATCAGTAAGTACACCTTTAGGTGTTCATTTTAGACTCTCCAAAGAACAGTCACCAAAGACGGAGGAAGAACGTACACACATGGTGAAGGTGACGTATGCCTCAGCAATTGAAAGTCTGATGTATGTCATGGTTTGTACTAGACTAGATATTGCTCAAGCAGTGGGAGCTGTTAGCAGGTACATTAATAATCTGGGAAAGGTACGTTGGGAAGTAGTCAAATGGATCCTCAGATATCTGTGGGGTAGCACAAACAAAGCACTTTGTTTCAAAGGTGGAGATACAATACTGACAGGCTATGTAGATGTTGACTTAGCCGAAAATGTTGACATCAGAAGAAGCACTACAGGGTATGTCTATACTCTAGGAGGTACCGTAGTGAGTTGGGTTTTTCAACTACAGAAGATAGTTGCTCTCTCCACATCTGAAGCAGAATATGTCGTTGTTACATAAGCCAGTAAGAAGATGGTTTGGAACCAAAGTTTCTTGGAAGAGTTAGACAAGAAACAAGAAAACAATATCTTGTATTGTGACAGTCAAAGTGTTATTCATCTAGCGAAGAATTTGTCTTTTCATTCCAGAATGAAGCACATACAATTGCGATATCATTTTATCCAATCTCTTCTGGAAGATGGGATTTTAAAACTTGAAAAGATTAGTGGAGCTCAAAATCTGGCATATATGTTAACAAAGACGGTGACTACAGACAAACTGAAGTTATGTTCAACTTCAGTTGGCATGCTAGAGTAACAAAGACAAAAATGTTGCTGCATTGATAGAGGTGTGAAGACATATTAAAATCAGTCTTTAAGTGGAAGATTGTTGAAAGTTTGACTTAATAATGCACCGAAAGTGCATGGCAGCAATTGTTGAAAGTTGGTTTTGAAATATTGATGCATTAAAGATTGGCAGCCGGCGGCTGAATGGTGAAGTCAATATGAGCAAATTTTGTTGAAATTTTGGTAAGGCAAAATTGCAAATTTAGTCCCTACACTTTAGTGTATTTATAAGATTAGTCCTTAAGCTTCAACTATAAATACCCCAGCCCATTTAGCTTCAAAACCATGCCAAATCATTTCTTTCTCCCAATACGAAAGAATTTAGAGAATTTTCTTGTGAGTTGTGCGTGCTTTTGTAAACACCTGTAAATTTTCTCCCTTTAGTAAAAGATCTGCAGTAGTCTGGAGACGTAGGCATAATTGATCAAACTCCGTTATCAATTTCGGGTATTATTATTCCACTTTTATTTCGCATTCTCACTAATCTGGTTAAAGGGAAATTACTTATTTATATTTCCCAACACCAAATGTCGATATTTTTAATTTTTTCCTTACTGACCGAGTTCTCTTCTATAGTGTTATTTGGAGGGTGGCTATGATGTTGAAACCTGATTTTATTATACTAGTAGTGGTAGTAGCGACGGCAGAAGAAGAAGAAGAAGAAACACGTGCGTTGGGTTGAGGGTCCATGAAGAAGATGAAGAAACATGTGGGTTGGGTTTTTGAATTTTTTTTATTTTTTAATTACCAACTCATTCTTCCGATACTCAAAACGACAGCCATGGAATTAGTTACACTAGTTATCAGTTCAAGCTCAATGATCCCTTAATGTATCCCTATGGCTCAAGAGCTCTTGCCATCAGGCTGTGACTTCAACACATGAGCCTTATAGGAGATTCTCAGGTTCATCAATGAAGGATTCAGGGCAATTTACGCCATTAATAATGAGCTCATCTTCTTCAAATCATAGGACAACAATCAATTGTTTCATTTATGAATGGCCACTAAAACATAGAGACTCATTATGGTTTGATTTGGATGATAAATCATCAAACAACTCATCACTACCTTCAACAACCAAGCTCTCAATCTCCATCTTCAATCCATGATCAGATAACGGTATATATTAAAGACATAACTTCAAACTTATGCAGGAATCCATTGTTTCATTGATCAATCTCCACCTTTCTGTTGTAAGAGGCAAGAATTTGTAAGAATGAAAATATTTAACATTGAGATTGACATTTCCTCGAGCAGTTGGTTGGCATCATTGAAACGTCTATGGATTTGAATTGTTGAGAATATGAAAGTATACAACTATTATTAAACATATATATTAGTTTTGTTAAAAATATAAGAAGTTTTTAAGTTAGTTTGGTGGTTAGGTATTTAACATTAGTTCATGAAGAACTTTGGCTCAAATCCAATGAAAATCAATTTTTCATCAAATGACTCTAATAAAACGATGTTGTTTTGAGTTTTTTGAGCATAAAAAAGTTGCACAAAAATGACATCGTTTTGGTGAGAGAGCCACATCATCACCGTCACTGCGTAGAAATGTCATGTCATCATGCCATTAATGAATTAATGGCGGAGTGGCATAATTGCAGTTAAACATAAACATCAATGTTAAAATTGATAAAATTGAAACATCAGTGGCATAAATGAACTCGAGCTTAAAGGTGATGGTATTTGAAGTAGTTTAACCTATAATGTATCATCCACGCTTTCAAGAATGGATGCCTTACGAGTGTTTTAGATCCTTTGCACTGAGTATATTGTCCTCGAACATCCAACGAAGAATCCTTGCAAACAATACTATAACGTTTCATAAATCATCCCAAATTAAATTCTGATTATAAACACCATAAAAGACATCATCACTGTTAATCTTCTATGAAACATCACTGAAGCATAGGATATCTCTATCCGGTGGTCCCTTGGCATTCCAAAATGGCTAGCTTAAGCTTCTGTTGACTATAATAAGTTGACCACACACAGACACACATATATATATATTGATCGCATAGTCCAAAATTATTTTCTTTCTTTTATTTTCAAATAAAATCCACACGTTTTATATGACAGTTCAATCTCAGACAGCTTAAAATTGTCATGCGCGACATATTCATGCAGTACGACAAACACAGCATTACCCCACATCCAACCTGTTTTCTACTCATAAAATATTCTAACTAATCTAGATTGAAACTTTCATCCCACCTTACCCTTCATTACATTATCTTTTTATCAAATCACAAGTGCTTTCTTCCGGTGTCTGTTTGGTCTTTTCACTACCCCTGCCAATACCATATGTGCTCGTCCTAATAAATGTGTAATGATCCAGAGAAGGAACCACTAATAATCCTAGCCAGAAAAACTCCATATCACCGGATGACTTCTTCGACCTCCACCGGAGCAAATGCCCCACTCCTTCAGGTGAACAAGCCACCGGCAAAGCATACATCAGTGTCCGGTGTCGTCTTCAATGTTTCAACTAGCATTATCGGTGCCGGAATTATGGCAATCCCGGCAACTCTCAAGGTGCTTGGAGTAGTCCCAGCATTTCTGTTGATAGTGATTATAGCTTGGCTAGCAGATATCTCGGTTGAATTTCTGATGAGGTATACAAATACTGGCAAGTCAACCACTTATGCCGGTGTCATGAAGGAATCGTTTGGACGGGTGGGATCGTTTGTGTTGCAAGCATGTGTTGTGTTGAATAATCTCGGTTGCTTGATCATTTATTTGATAATTATTGGTAAGTCCATCAGTTTCAGAGAATTTCAACAATTAATTATGTTTCTGAATGCAGAAATGGATGGTTCGTGTTGTCAAAATTTGTGTAGATTATAGATAAGAGTTTAAAACTATTTGTGGTTCAAGTATGTACTTGCTGTTATAATAAAATGTTCTGATCTTTAGAATTTTGTTCTCAGGGGATGTTCTTTCAGGAAATCAACCTGAAGGATCAGTGCATCTAGGTGTTTTACAAGAATGGTTTGGTGTTCACTGGTGGAATTCCCGTGCCTTTTCGATCCTCTTCACTGTTGTATTCATTATGCTTCCATTGGTTTCGTATAGGCGTGTAGGTGAGTTTTGCATGATTTTTAATCATGTATAGAGAACTGATTAGATATTGTTTAAGCTACGATGTCGAGTTTGTTGTAAAGAATGTTCTTTGTCAAATTGGCCTGAATTTGCAGAAGCATTAAGGTTCAGTTCTGCAATAGCAGTTTTACTTGCCGTGCTATTTGTTGCCATCAGTTCTGTTATGGCGATAACTGCACTCTTTCAAGGCAAAACCGAGAGGCCGAGACTGCTGCCTTACTTGGACAACAGAGCCTCTTTTTTCGATCTCTTCACCGCTGTCCCTGTCATTGTAACAGCTTTCAATTTTCATTTCAATGGTACAGACGCTCTGTGATTCTTATAAATGCCTGTTTCCATGCTGGTTTGTTAATGAAAGATTAGCCAAGTGAGAAACTCTTGTTCCCAAATAGTACTCATAAATGTGTTCAATGAATGCAGTTCATCCTATTGGTTTTGAGATGGATAAACCTTCTGATATGATGAAAGCAGTCCGAATTTCTCTCATACTATGCGGTGCCATCTACTTTGCCATTGGGGTCTTTGGATACCTTCTTTTTGGCGAGTCAATCACGTCTGATATACTTGTTAATTTCGACCAAAATTCTGGTTCAGCACTCGGACCCGTACTCAATGACATAGTTCGATTAAGCTATGCCCTTCACCTCATGCTGGTTTTCCCCCTCTTGAACTTCTCATTAAGGGCCAACATCGATGAATTCCTTTTCCCAAGTAGGCTTATTCCGGCAAGAGATAACATAAGATTCATGTCCGTCACTGTTATTCTTCTAGCCATTTGTTACTTGGCGGCCATAGCCATCCCTAACATATGGTATTTCTTTCAAGTCATGGGATCAACCACTGCTGTCAGCATTGCCTTCGTCTTCCCCGGCGCTATCGCTTTTAGGTAGCATCTGTAAGAGACCGGAATGCATCTCAGCTTTAGCTTCAAAGACAATCCTCCTAACTATGTTCCTTGTTTTGTTCCTATTTCAGGGATGTTCATGGCATATCGACATTAAGAGACCGGATTATATCTGCTTTAATGATAATTTTGGCTGCTGTTACGAGTACAATAGCCCTTTCTACCAACATATACAGCCTTTCAACTGAGCTTTAGCGGAGGTGCTTGAATTCAAGTGTATCCACCTCCATTTGTCTCTTTTGTTTACTTAATTAGAATATAGCAGATAAAAATAAAGTTCCCTCTATCAGCAATTTTGTTTCTCCCTCATTATATAACCAATAAACATGTCACATGTTGCTCGAACAAATTCATATAAATAATCATATGACTAATCCTATGATTGATTTTAAGGTCTATCCAAAATGATGCTTTAATACTTATAAACATTAGATTATTTATTGAAGCTCATACATACAATTAGCCATATGCTCCTCATAGATCCAATAACATTAGTGAGTTCGATTTGTTTGTATCTGGTTTTTCTGTATTATTCGGTGAGTTATTCATTGAACAAATATATATATATATATATATGGGCAAGTTCATCAACATAATCAACGAGAGGACCCTGAAGCTTAGCTAGTTGTTCATGCAACAACCCAGATGGCATATACCAGGTCTAACGTTGAGATCTCAACATTCCCTTATCCCCGGGCTAAGCCTCTCTTGTACCCGAAGAAAACGCATTGGTAGTATTTTTATCATAAATACATGTGTTCCAGAAATATCTTGTTGTATTTTTATTTGATTGAATAAACATAAGGAAGCTTTATGATATACTAACCTAAATTTTGTTTTTTCAAATCAAATATAATTCTATGAAATAAATTCCATATTTGTCTTTAAAATACATCTCATCCGATATAGAATAATCTTTTAAAAATTTAAAACATCATGTGAACAAGAATGAAAGCAGAAACTATACAAAATATGCAACATAAGGTAAATTCACACTCAACAAAGATATCTATGCTACAAGGAATGCATAATTTATCTTTTCCTTGTTCTTCTTTTAGTATGTATGGTTATAATTTTAATGTATATAAACTAATTTAGAATTCATTATCAAAGTTTTAGGTCATTGGTGCGAGTCCGGTGGGGGTAGTTTTATTTTTTCATCATTTCTTGTACTGGTACTTCTTATTTTTGGTAAGATGGTTTTTTAGACCTGTTTAACTGATTCTTATTGGATTCCCAATAACAATATCAAAGTTTTTGTGATAATATTTTCGTCAAGAAATTTTTTTTTTCTTTTTCTTGAATCCAAACAAAAAGAACTGATTCTTTCTTGGGTAAGTAAATATCGTTTAGGGATGATTTATTTATTAAGGTAAGCTTTGAAGAGATCAATAACTTGTACTAGTTCCAGATGAATTGGTATATGAGTTGTGAAATGGAAAGAATTGAAATCAGATGATATGCATTGGAATATATGACTTGGGTTGGGTGGAAACCCCTCCCAACTGTCGGTGGTGATGTGATGGTTCAATCCGACATCACCACCGACAGTCGCAGTTAATGATTGGCTTTGTGGTTTTCAGCTGTGGATAGGCGACTCCGTCAGCCTTGGATCTGTGTTACGGGGAGTACAACAAGGCCTATGCCCCTTTTGGTTCAAGGTATAATTCATTCCTCGAGGAATATTTTTTTTCCGGATGAATATACCACATTTGGATGGGATAACATTACTGAGTGTCGGTTAAATGCCAAAACCAACAGTAATTTTTTTTACTGTTTTTCCGGGAATCTCTATCTCCATCTCCCTTAGGTATTTCATTATTCCCGTTCCGTTGTCTAAAATAGTCTTCTTCCCACTTCGTTCTGGCTGCAATCTTCTTCTTCTACTTGATTACGGGTTTGTGTTCTCAAAATTGGAATTCCCAAAATTGAAATCCCTTTGCAAAGCCACTCGTTCCTTCCTCACGCTTCACCGCTCTAGCCTCCAATTGTTCACTCTCGATTTACAGTCGTCAACGGTTGCAGGCTCATCGCAGTGGAATGAGGACATGAAGAAAAATTTAGCTCTCGCTCCCTTTGCAAAGCCACTCAATGAAAAATAAGCTATGTAAGAAAACCAAACTCATCCACAAAGATATCTTTTTTTTCCAATTTGTTCTTTTAATCAAAATCATTATATGCAAATTTTTTTGATATCGATATTTACAAAAAAAAATTAGAATTTTTTTTGATATCGAGATTTAAAAAAAACAAATTGCGCAGATTGAGTGAATAATGGCGACGTTTGAGCTTTACTGGAGGTCAACGATCGGGATGTGTTTGACAGAGACATTAGATGAGATGGTTTCAAGCAGTACTCTGAGCTCCGAGCTCGCTATTCAGGTTCTCGTCCAGTTCGATAAGGTACTGTTACAACATTGTTTTGATTCTCTCTCTTCCCCCTTCCTCCCTGATCATTTATTCATTTTGTTCTCATATTTGTTAGTGTATGACTGAAGCCCTGGAAAGTCAAGTGAAACGCAAGGTTTCCATTAAGGTACATTCTTTTTACTTGAGTAGAAAATGAAGATCTTTGTGTTCTATGTTTGCGGTGATCTGTTGTTTCTATAATAAACTGCAGTGAAATATTTTGTTTTAGATCTGTTAGTTAAGTGCAATGTTAACCTTATCTTTTAATGTGGTACCTTGATCTTCCCATCCTCGACGAAAGATAATTTTCACCCTCCGTGAATGGTGAAATACCCCTGTATTTTATTTTACAAGTATTTGCAGGGACCAAAATCTAGCTTGGGTATTAATTGTAATGGTAGTAGAGTTGCATATATGGTACCTGATTGTGGTAGTAATCGGTTATTGTTTATCTTCAACATGCTTGCTTTGCATTTATGGGAGTACTGGCTTGCAGCACACATGATTGCTTCTTCTTTTGCCCTATCGTATGGCATATATTTCTTCATGTTGGAATCGTGTTCATCTGAGATACATCTTCAACACTTGGACACTTGATAGAAATGTCCATGCTTCATGGCTCTCTTATTTCTAAAATGTTTCCGAGGATCAGTGTTGATGATTTGAAGTGCAGGGTGAACACATCTTAATTATATTTTCGAACCTTCAGGCTTCAATCATGCCAAAACAAATTGGGTTATTTTAGTATATATGCTAGATGAACATTTTCAGGACCTGAAATGATAGACTTGTGTAGAGCTTATTTGTTTGAAAAAGTTCCTTTCTATCATACCTGTTAATGTATCTTTGTTTTGTTCCTTACTTTTCAAGAACAGTCAAAACAGATAGTTGGCAGCATGGCTCCACTGATTGCTCATCAGTATTTTTTCTAAATCGTGTTTCTTTTCTTATGTATCTAAACTTTTAGCTTTTTTCTACTTGGTTGCTTTGACTTTATTTTCTTTTTAAGTATCGATGTTTGAAGTATATTCGTATATGGATATAAGGATATGTTCCTCAAAGGACTCTAACTACATGGAAACTTGAAAAAATTAAGCATGTTCACCTTGGATATGTACTTATATCTAGGATTCTCACTCGAGTCTGAGTAATATATATTTGTTATTACTTATTTTGAACAGTCACCATTCATAAATACATTATTTGTGGGCTTCTATATTCTTTAGTAACGGACCTTTAAATCAACATACGACCAAGCATTGTCAGGCAAAAAGCCTGTGCTGTTATTTGCATTTGAATGCTGATCTTGTCTTGTATGTTTATGCTACAGGGACATCTGCACACCTATAGATTCTGCGACAATGTTTGGACCTTCATCTTACAGGATGCTTTGTTTAAGAACGAGGATTCTCAGGAAAATGTTGGTCGAGTCAAAATAGTAGCATGCGACTCAAAACTGCTCTCACAATGAAATTTCAAATCAGTGTGGCGTCTGATGATGGTGTAAGGGGATGGTTGATTGAAGATTGGACGAGATATATATTACATATATATTAATTGTTAGCCATCGACCTTTATGGATGAGTTTTGTCTTTGTTCATTTTATTTTGCTTTCTGATAACATTATGGAGGTGAAAATTTTCAGAAAAAAAAAATGAAACCTATTTATTTATGACAAGAATGATTTATATCTATGTTATTCAGACTCGGTGTCATTTTTTATGTGTGTTTGTCGATAATGGTACATTCAATTTTTAAAGTTTTCTCATGTACAAATATGATGCGAGTCCTTGTGATCTTATATCAAAGTTAGGTCCTTGTGATTTATATCAGAGTTGTGCATGTGTTGGCTTGTGAACTACGTGGTAGGGGAGGGTTGATTGGTGTTATCTCACGTAGGGGTGTTTATCTAGCGAGTCGTTAGTTAGTTGAGTTGTGCTTGAGTCGTTAGTTAGTTGAGTTGTGCTTGACTTGTTCAGTGAATGTAATTTTGGGATGAGTAGTAGAAGAAACAAATATATTACGTGAGATTTATTTCACTTGTTCATTGAATCTAATTTTTATATAAACAATTTTTATTTATTCCGTGACTTGTTCATTGAATCTAATTTTTATATAAATATTTTTTTTAAATAATTGGAATTTCACTTGTTAAAAAATATAGAACAAGGTCAATTTGGTAAAATATACATACCAGTAATATGTTATTCCTTTAACCAAACACTATAATCTTACATTACTATCAAACAAACCAAACACAATAATGTAACATTCCCAGTAATGTGTTAGGTAATGTTACATTCCGGTAATCATATTCCCACTGGTAATCTTATATTCCGTGAACCAAATACACTCTAAGGAATGTCATTGTTAACGGGATAAATGAATAGAGCCTCCAACTGTTTTTGAATCGCTTGTATAATATTAATTTATTAAATTAAATAAATGAATATGAATTTCTTTTTATGTTCGTCTATGTTCACGAACAAAATCGTTTATCGACTCATTTATAAGTCCATTTACTCGGTTCTCTTTTTGAATATTGATGAAAGTAGGACTAAATTGAATATAAGATAAATTTTGAAGTTCAAATTGTGAAGTCCAAGAAATATAAGGACTAATGACATAAGTCACCAATTTCCTTTGGCTTGCAATTAAAAAAGAAAAAGAAGTGTTGGTTGTCGAGCATTAAACAAACGTTAAACACGAACATGCTCGTGAACGTTAAACGAACATATTTATGAACACTAAAACGAACATGTTTGTGAACACTAAAACAAACAAACACGAACACCATTAAAAATAAATAAACGAACATTAATATCATACTGAAAATTTAAACAAACACAAACCGAGCATAAACACAAACTGAACATAAACATCTTAAAAAAAATAAACATACGAGCTCATTGTTGAGGTCGGTGGTTGTTCGTTTTCTCGAGAAAACACTCTAAATACCTTGCCGCCCTAGATTGTTGGTAAATGATTAACGAGGGTTGGGTTGTGGAGATTAGACAAGCGTTGAGGGAAGAAGACAGATGTGCGGATTATCTACAAACTTGACACACGATATTAATGTTGATCGATTGATAGAACTAATATTTTTAGCAGATGAGGGCAAGAACACAAATTCCTTGTTTCCTTGGGATAACACAATCACTCTGCAGTCTCCACTGATGAAAGAAACGGACACATGGCGTTAATTTCAAACTCTATGATCAGCAAAATTATACAATCAAATTCTCATGTTCCTATAGGATAGACTTTTCTTCAATGCTAAGGCTTCTTTACCTAAATTCTCCTCAGCCCCGAATTCAAAGAGTTAAAAACTTTTCAAGATGAAATATCACATCTCAAATCTTGAAATCTCTTCAGTAAGTTCGATTTGTATGTCCCGATTTCAGCATCTTCAAAGGTGTCGGGGGTAGACTTTATAGCTGAGATTGCCCCAGCATTGTGCAAAGCTTTGACTGCTTCATCTACAATAATGGAAACAAAGTTAGTCAGAACCATTTATCTTTTACCATTCAAGACAAAAACACAAAGGACGTAAAAGAAATCACAGTTGGAACGTATGTGTAGTCAAACTCAAAGCATTACGTCCTATATAAAAAAATAAAGTTAAGCCAATCATGGAGTCGAATGCTACTCCAAGCAGGCAGGCATTTGGGCGTAACAACTCTTTTTAATGCCAGGCTAAATTAGTGAACTGAACAAATATATACTTTTACCTGATTTTGACAGTGCACTAAGAGCTTTCAGCGCCTCTTTCTGAGTTCGATCATCTTTAGCGGAACCCAACATATTTAAGAGCTCTTGAGCTCCACCAATCTCAACTATTTTCATCCTTCTTTGATCTATCATAATGAATGGACAAAGAGAGTTCATCATGAACAATCAATATTAGCTGCTTTGGTTTAGAATGAGAGATAAAAATTATAGGATTCACTTCAAAACTACCGTAGTTTTGAACGTAAGATCCACTTTCATGATAACTACATCATATAAGTAAAAGGGTTACAGCAAACTCTCATTTGCAACTACTTATTTGAATCTCTAAATCAAACACCCAAGTTGCTGAAAGTTTCAGAAAAAGACATGCAAGCTTATCAGCTAAAGCCGTGTAGGGGCAATGCCACGAGAACACATGCAACACTCCGTCAGAACTCTGTCAAAGCAGCCAAAAGCTACATGTAATAGAAGAAGACAAGACATGAGTAGGATATTAAAGGAACGCGTTCAAAGTGAAGGCCATGAAAATATAGCTCAGGTAAGTCATCTTCTGATTATTGATCCTCAAGCTCCTAAAACAGCTAGAACTCCCTCTCAATATTAGCCTAAAACAGTTTTTTCTCAGACACTATCACCATTTAACAAACACGTATCTTATATGATAAAAGGATGCAATCAAATATGCCTATTACAAGATAAGAGGCATGAACAAATACCTTTCATTAGTATCTGCTTTATAAGCACACAACTCACATCAAAATCCAAAACAATAGATATAGATATGCTGAACTTGTCACAAATTTAATATTAGGGAACAAAAGCATACCGTCAATTGCAAAACGGGCCAATCTAGAAGCCCCCATTCTCTTAAACAATGGATCCTTAACATGCAAAAGTGACACAGATTGATGCATCAAATTGTCTCCTGTAAAAAGCAAATCTTTAAGCAATTTCTCTCTTTTTTTAAGCAAATAATGGCAAAAGGCAACCACTTTTGATAACATAAGGTTGGTTGTTCATAAACCAAATTTTCATATCCCCAAATACCCACGCAAGTCGAATACCAGAATTGAGATAGCGTGCACACAAATCACGCATAAGAAAAAGAATCAATAATTTCGAACAAGATAAGATTTGTTTAAAAAAAAGGAGAATACCCATGTAAGGAAAGAACTGATAAGCAACGAAAGTTGCAGTGCCAGCAAAGAAGAGTTTCAACAACCATCCTATTTTCCTCTCGGCTTCCTGTTCAAGAGAGGCTTCATCTGCAGCCAAAAGCATACAGACACTCATTCAATCTGACTACGCATTGGACGAAAAAACCCTTTTCGAAAAACATAAATTTGATAAAAGTGTAACCTTTTCCATTAAACGATGAGAAATTTCGAGATTGCCCATTCCAAGGCCTTCTTTTGAACAACAGCTACAATGAGAAAACAGGGTCAAAGAAAATTGGGTGCAGAAATAGGGAAAAATGAAAGAAATGGGATAACAAAATTGAGTAGTTTACAGTGTTGAGGAGAGCTGCGAAGGCGCGCATCGTTCAAAGTCAATTGCTTAAGCCACAGAATGAAAGATACTGTAATTTGTGTTTTGCTGGAATGTTGGGCGTCGGAGAACAATGATCAGGTATTCCACAATTTCAGTAAGATAAAGGGTCGCCGTCAATAAAAGATCAAGAGGCAGTGTTCACCATTGTGGATGGGACAATATTGGAAACATAGATGCATTATAATTTTGAAGTAATGGATTCAACCCAATAAATAGGCCTAGCGGTGCAATAGATTTTGAATTGATGGATTCAACCCAATAACTAGGCCTAGCGGCCCTATGCAATAGATTTTGGGCTTTTTTGGACCAATAGTGTGTTTAGAATAAAAAATTAGGGTTTTCCCCACCTCAACTTTTAATTAGGGTTCTACGTCATTTGCTACAGTATCAGTTAAAAGTATTTTTTAATGGAGTCGGATGAGTGGATCTCATGTGGGTTGTTAATTTATTGTTTTTAAGTGGACTCGTCACTTCGAGGTGACGAGTCAATTAAAAAAATTATAATTGAAATTAAAATTAGAAATTAAAAAAGGGAACTTGTCGCCTAAAGGTGATGAGATCCTTCAAATTCAAAAAACTAGTTGTTTTGTAGACGTTGGTCAACGAGCAACTGCTCACTTGGCTACGGTCACTTGGAACTCGTCACCACCAGAATTTTGCATCATAGTCGTTGGAATTAGGGCTATAAATAGGGGTTTGGGGTTTTGATTTTTCATCAAACCTTAAATCCAAAAAAATTGTGAAAAATCCAACTTTATGTGAAATCCCAAAAAATGGTTTCTCGAGCATACATGTTGCGCCTTGACAACATCCATATTTTGTCAATCAAACTCTGGTCAGAAGAATAACAGAGTATTCGTCGACGCATGATGACTTCGAGAGATATGCATCAGCAGATGTTGATATATTTTCAGCAACCCGGTCTATTTCAAGGTGTACCCGACGTAAATTGAGGCTCTGATCGAACATTGGTGGCTCAAAGCGCACACTTTCCATTTCCCGAGTGGTGAAGCAACGATTACTTTTGGAAGACAACGCTTACCAACTCGGTGTTCCTGTGAATAGAGTCTCGTGGTGAGGCAGAACAATTACGACTTCAGGACGTTAGTCTACCAAGTTTTGGGAAAGTTGTCACCATTCAAGTTCTTCTATGGTTATAGGGTACGAATGATGTGGTTAGAGTTCGAATTCTAAGTGACAGTTGACTCTATCGAGGACCAGGTTATTTTTGCTTCCTAAGTGTATCTTCTCCAACTAATCAGAGGGGTATTATTATCAAATAAATATAGTAATTTGGCGCACACTCAATATCTTCGAATATTAAATGACTTCGCTGAGTGTCACAATACCAGTTGGGCTCGGTGATTTTAGACTTTCTGTATCAGGAGCATTACAAGGTTGCAATTATCAAGTGGGGTCAAAAAGTCGATGTAGCAGACTGTCTAATATTGCTACAATACTGAGCTTGGTATCGGTTCCCGTTTTTTACACTGATTACAAAAGCCCCGGTCGAGTTTCCTTTTGTTGGAAGGTAATTTTTTTAAATTTTTAAAATTTGATTAACATAATTATTTTTATATGTTTTTAATATTTTTCTATTTTTTAAATATTTTAGATGGCTCCATAAAATAACCGAGACGAAGTTATCGAGTGCCACTGCAAAAGATATACAGATGAGGATCGACATCGCCGGTTGATATGCGATATACATTTTTTTATTATATTTTTCAAATTTTTAAATTATATATATATATATATATATATATATATTAACTTTGATATTTAATATTTCCAGTTTTCTTGGCTTTCATATGCTGACGATGAGATCTACCTGTTATTGCCACCATAATTTTTTGAGGGGGTCTGATTTATGGTGTGTCACGATGTCGTTATTACATTTTGTGATTGTTTAGTGGCACGCCAATGATAGAGTATTACGAGAGTATGCATCACATTAGCCAATTTCTACGCAAATCGTTGAGATGGACGAGCTCCATTGAATTGATACGCATGGGAAACATATCGAAAATTGACTGACGAAGCACACTTACTACATCGAGCTATGGAATCAGTGGCACTTATCGTTCCCCCCATGTTACGAGATTACACCGTTTGACCTAGATTTCAACCATATCTCACGACACCACAACAGAGGGGAGAATGGGAATAATATCAGGCCCAATTCCCCAAGTCCAAGAAGAAATTATCAGCGTCTTCTTCTTTTGCTTCAGCATTTGTAGTTGAAGATTACTATTATGAATCTTAGGCTAGTTTCGATTTCTATCCTGCATATCATGCTTCAACCTAGACTCAGCTGACTTGGGTTGGAGGTTCGTGGGATGCAATGTAACACATTCAAACATCTTCAACAGGAACATGCATGTGAAGGTAACTGGGATCATATCGTATATGGTCAACAACATAACTACCAAGTCAATTTAGTAACGACAATGATGGTGTAACACCCTGACCTGTATCCGACCCGGATACGAATATGAGGTGTCACATTGATTTTTCAAACTCATTGACTTTTTAAAAAAATGAAATTAAGACTTGATAAGGAAAACAAACTTTACAAAACATAGTTACAAACATATCAAAGCATCTATGACTTACTCATTTTAGTACATGCCAACAATCATATCACATATTATTTAGTTCACTCTGATTTGATATCCTTCAGAGATATGTTGTCCTGCCCTTGCTTACTATACTGATGTCTCCGAACCTACTTGTGAAAACAATCACGCGTTAAGTCTATGACTTAGTGAGACAATACTAAGTATAGTAAAATAATAAAACAATTATGTAAATGTTTCCAAAAATAATCATTAAATATTATAACATCATACTATTTATAACTTATAACATATACTATCACCTATTGATTAATTATATGTATTTGACACTTGCTTATACATTTTCTTGAACATTTCAAATAAAACCAATAGACACTTTATTAACATTTTAATACTATTATTCATTGTTCAATTTATATCAAGTTTGTTTTATTAGCCCAACGTATATCGTTGAGAACTCAAGGTATGCGAGTACATTGAGGTTGTGCACTAATGCAGTCACCACTGCTCATATAATTTACACCAAAGTGCCACATAGAATTTGTCCCGAAGTACCACATAAAATCATCAACTCTTGGCATGCCAACTATAACCCTAATTCTCATAAAATATACTTTGGGATTTAGTTTTATAGTTAATTTTCAATACTTTATTCTAGTGTCTTTTATCTACATAGAACACTTTCACATTTATTATTCGCGTAAATGATTTACTCATAGCATTCATTTTAACGCATTCATTTTAACATTTTTCATTTATCATTTATGTTCCATAGAACATATCCACTTAGAAAAGCTTCATCTATACTCATAGCATTTCATTTTACTCAAAAACATTTGAGGTTGGCTCATCGTAAGCCGTTCTCCAATCATAAATTAATTAAGTAAATAACACTCACATTTGCCTCACTTAAGCCTTAAATAACTCATTCTCTCTTTCACTTTATCTTGGTACGTCCATTCGTTCCGCATTTGATTTCAATCAAATCTACACATAACATGACCCATATGAATACTAGAATCTCAATTAACATCTAACCCATTGACTTTTATTTAAACGAAATGAAACACTTAATTAACATTTCCGATTGAATAGTATTAGTACTCTACCCACAATACAGATACTTGTCTTCCATGGTACTGATACCCACTTCAGTACTGATACCATTTTAGCATTCTGGAATTCCTTTTTCAATTACAGTATCGATAACTTCCTCTTGGTATCGATACCTCCACATCAGTATCAATACTACTTCAATCAGTATCGATGTTGTTCATCATATTCATACTCATTCCTTTAAATTTTAACCTTATAGTATCTGTATTGTTCTTCTAGAACCGATACCCTTACCCATAATTCATCTATTTCACTTCGAAAATTTACCCAACTTCACTTAAATCTCATACTTTAAACTCTATTCATACATTTCAACTCATTTACACTTATTACCACTAACTTATCTCCATTAAAATCCCTTTAACATGTAAAATCTTCTATAAAACTTTTGAAACTAAAAATCATACCAGTTTTCCAAACATGTTTTAAATTCTTTATAACACTTCAAACACTTTAATTAGACATTTGACAAGTCAAATATATCATTAGAAATTCAAATATTAATTAATCTCATAAAATCCCTTGAAAACTCATTTTACTAATTCTTCAATAATTCCTTAATTACTTAGTTTCATCATCATCTATAAGTTTCCTCAATCTTCTATACCAACCATGAACCAAAAACCAACTCAAAATGAAAGGAATAACCAACTCTGAAGAAACTCACCTTGATAATGGGATTTACGGGGAGAAGAAGAAGAGAAGTAACCAAAGTTTTAAACTTTTCCTTTATTTCTTTCCTTATTTCCCACATGCTTAAATAACCTTTAAAAATGAATTTTAAATTCATTCATGCTAAATGATCTCTTTGCCCTTCCATTCTTCCATCTTTGATAATAAGTCCTAGACACAAATTCCAAAATCCGTCCTTGAATTCAATTTATTCAAAATAAACCATAAAATTTTAAATCCTTACATTCAGTCACTAACCCGAAGTTTGGGGTATTATAGATGGCGTCAAATACCATAAGTCCATCACCGTATTTCGAAGGTGGATCTCATTGTCTTAAGTACACCTCCTCGGCAAGATGAAGACGACGACGATTAAGACCGACGACCCCTGCGTACTCGACGAGCCTCGTGCCATTATCGTTCAACCACTCTTCGACATCGTCAAGAACTTAGAAATATATATATAAATTTTATTATTTTGTAAAAATTATTAATTTTTTAATTAATTAATTTTATAAAATTTAACTCGGGCGAACTTGTCACCTCAACGTGATGAGTTCTATTGTTATCATTGCACAACTGTCTGTTAACCAACGACTACAAAACATCTACTTTTTTAATTCGAAGAAACTCGTCATATCGATATAACAAGTTACCCTCTTTTTTAATTTCTAATTTTAATTTTGTCAATAATAAAAAATTTAATGGATTCGTCACATCTAGGTGATGAGTCCGCTTAAAAATAATAAATTAATTACCCACGTGCGACCCACTCATCCC